CGGGATGATAAATATTTGCAATTTATACGAGACCGAGTTTTCTCGGGATGATAAATATTTGCAATTTACACGTACCCGAGTTGATTCGGGACAATCAGGGAAGCGATTAATTTGCATAGTTTATTAAACTAATTTAGATTTAGAAACATAAAAACGAATGAATTAAGCTGAAAAAAATAATTATATTTTTCGGCAACTCTATTTTTTAACTGATTGTGTAAATGATGTGTATTTCTAGGGTTTTACAATTATCTAATATTACCTTATTAAGCGACATTTTGCGATAAAAACACTTATATCCAGCTCACAGTTATATTTTATTAAAATATAAAAATGTTTTATCATGCTCTTTAAAAATTATGGCGTTCCTTCAAAAAATGAAAGAAAAAACATTTCTAGAACGAATCATCTTTTAAACTTCTGTGATTTCAGAATTTTTTTATTGTTATTATTTTTTTTAATTTTATCTATTTCAAATTCTAGTTGAAGCAAGCCAGTCATTGTCGAATGTATTTTAATTCCGAAATGAGAACAGAAAAAAATCACGAGTATTTCTTTCCTTTCCGATGAACAAGAAAAGTATCTTTAGAATATAATTCTGCAGAAAAAAAGGAAAGAAAAAACTATTTGCTTCTGTATTTTTTTTAGCTATTTTATTGCTTCAACTCTTTCTTTACTCTGTTTCTTAAATTTAAAATCTATAAATATGAAGATGCAGAGTATAACAGTTTTGGTTATACCCATCCAGAAAACATATAACCTTACGGCAACCTTAACTCGAAATTTTATTTTTATTTTCACGGAAATGTTTGTACTGAAAACCTTTTTTTAATGAAGCAAAAATATTGCAGTTTCAAACCTTTCAAACTAAAAGGATTAAAAATTATTATTAAAGCTTTTTTAAAAAGTATTGTCCCTAACATCACTATGGATACATAATGACTAAGGCCCGGATTTTGATGACATTTGCATTTTTTTGCATTTTTTGCATTTTTGGACATTCTTTGTCCTTTAGAGCATTTTTTGAGATTTATAGGGCATTTTCCTTAAAATTTTAAAGCATTTTTTACATTTTTTGTTAAATTTTTCTAATTTTTACTATTTTTTATAATTTTTTATTAATACACTGGCTTTCAAACAATGAAGAAAATTTCTAGGATATTAACAGGTGAAGCAACATCTTTTCAAATTGAAGAAGAATTGTCAGTAAGTGTGACCGTCCTTTTCAAGTACGCACCAATAACATCAGTAGACGTTGAAAGAAGCTTCTCCTGGTATAAAAATTTGCTTTCAGACAAGAGACGCTCGTTTACATTTCAAAATATCAAAAGAAAAAATTTAATAATCCACTGTAATTCTGATATTTAGTAATATTATGAGATGGAAATTGTTATATTCATTTAAGTTTCTATACAAAATGAAAATGTTTTGGAGTCAATATATTTTCCTTTTTTTTTTGTTGTTATTTTTGGATATAAAACATATTTGTCAAACACTAATGAACGTAGAACAAGTATTGCATTGCTTTATATTTTTTGAAACGACTCATAATAATTTTAAAGAGTAAAACATTGTTTTAGTTCAATATTTTTACTTCTATTTAAGTCATGTCATAAGGCATTTTTAGAGCAATTTTCGCATTTTAAGGGCATTTTTTGCAGTTCATAAGGGCATTTTTTGCACTTTTTAAGGGCATTAATTGAGATTTTTTACGTCATCAAAATCCGGGCTCTAATAATGACGTTTTAGATGACGTCACACTAGCGATCGGATCAAATTGCATTGTCAATTAAAATTTCAAAACAAGTTGGATTTTAGCTGAGCTTTGCGAAAAAGAAACCTTATAATTACCTAGATTTAAGATTATTTTCACCTTGAAACAAGCTTTATTAAAGGATTTTTTCAAGCTTGAAAACCCTAAGTCCATCTCGATATAAGGTTTTTATATAGAAGGTTGTTTTCCAAAGTTTTGGATTAGGGCAGGTATATCAAAAAGGTTAAGAGACACTGGATTAGGGTAATGTGCGTAGCTTGTGCCAAGGTGCCAAGGTGCGTAGAATAGATGCCAAGGTGCCAAGAATAGATGCCAAGGTGCGTAGAATAGAGCAGATGGCCACGGCTCTCGTTTTAAGATTAGAAGGTTTACACGTAAATCGCAAAACAAACCCTTTTAGTTTTACATTAAAAGGTTTTTTTTTTCTGAGTTAAACTGAACCTTATTTTGCTATCTGGACATCATTTCAATTAATGTTATTACAATGCTTTTTAAATTTTTTTTGTCGGAGAAAATAGTAACTTCGTTAAGTCATGAAAAATTCTTGGAATTAGTCATGAATTTGAAAGTGTAAAATGTATCAGATACCCTTCATAGTATTATTTACATAATTTTTTTAATACGACTTATGAAATAAAATGAAGAAAAACAACTCGCTAAAAATTCAAATTTTTAATTTTTATACTTAATCAGTAAATTTATTTATTTTTTTAGATCCAGAAGAGGCAAAAAATTGCTTGGAACAGCCAGATACCGGTTTTTGCCGAGCATATTTTGAATCTTATTACTACGATCCAAAAAAAGGTGATTGCTTTAAATTTGTGTATGGAGGATGTGACGGCAATGGCAACAGGTATACCACCTACGACGAATGTATGAGTACATGTAGAGGTAAGTTTCAATTTAATTTTTTTTTCTTCATTTATTATACTTGAACGTGCATACAGTGCATGCCCAAATTATTAGACGGACTATAAAATTCTCTGTAAAATCTTAATTATTAGGTGATACTATACAGCTTTATTGTTTTTACGTGACTAAAACCCGGCTTTTCATTGGTGCATCCAGTGCCGGATTATTCATCAGGCCAGACTAGGCCATGGCCTGGGGCCCCCAATGATTAGGACCCCCCTTAAAATTGATTTTTTGAAAATAAATTTAAAAAAAATCAATTTCAAATATATGTTATGATTAGAGCCTGGATTTTGATGACCTAAAAAATCTCAATTAATATATATTTAAATTTGTAAAGAAAANCATTATTTATTTTAATTTTAAATATGCTTTCTTCAGTGAAAAGATACATAAATATTTTTATATTTGAATAAATAAAAAATATACGAGAAAAAAAATTTAATCTAAGCGCTCAAAAATTTGAATGGAAAAATTAATCCGGCCTGCGTGTGGGTTAGATTAGACGATATATAATATAAATTTGACGATACGATAAATTAGACGATATATTATATAGATATAGAATATTTATCATATCAAGCCTTATATTAGTATATTATAATAATTAGTTCAAATTATTAGACGCACTGTAGATTCTTAATAATGACATGTTTTGCACGAATTCATATTTGCACGAATTATTATCTCCCCGTGTAGCAATATTTTCATATTTAAACGTATTTATTTTTAACGTATTGCATTACAATGCTAGTTAATTGATACACTAACGTAAACAAGTGCAAACCGGTTTCAGTCACATAAAAACAATACAGCTGTATAGTATCACATAATAATTAAGATTTTACATAGAATCCTATAGTGCATCTAATAATATGGCCAGGTACTGTAGATCAAAAGTCTGGTTTTAAAGAAATTCATAATTAAAATTTATTTTCGACTAATTATTTCATTTCATTAGAGAGAGGGCTCGCTTCGCACACAAATACCAGTATTAGTAAAATTACTTTTTCCCTCACCTAGAAACAAATTGTTCATATAAATTAAAAAGGTATTTATTTGAAAAAAATCCCGAAATGTTTTAACACGGTTTTGGTTTCACAATTTTGGCACACTTTAATATGGGATGAAATTCAATCATTATTATTTTGCTCAGTGTACCGTTGAAACTTCATCCTCGATTTCGTTTCTAAAAATCATATTTAATATCTCAGAGTAGGCCAGGATAGCCTGGTCGGTAGGGAGCTGGACCCATGTCTGAGAGTTCGTGGGTTCGAACCCCGCCGACCGAAGACTCCCCGTGTAGTAAATGGCAACTGATGCACGTTAAATCTGTCGAGTCGTTTCGTTTCTAAAAATCATATTTAATATCTTAGAGTAGGCCAGGATAGCCTGGTTGGTACTGCGCTGGGCCCATGTCCGAGCTTTCGTGGGTTCGAAACCCGCCGGCCGAAGACTCCCCGTGTAGTAAATGGCAACTGATGCACGTTAAATCTGTCGATTCGCAAAACTCCTCCATGTTCCCATAGCAAATCAATACCTTTGGGGGTACTGGATTGGAGATCGATCGTTCTCTGATTCAGGTCAAAATTACGAACTGTGGATGAATGAATAGGTCCGCCCTATAAACGGGTGTGACTATGGTGTGGCAGAAGTCGAATTATTAGCCATAGATGGCGCCACTGGAAAACAAGAACAATCGCGCCCCCTCTGCCTAAACAGGCATGCGTCAACAACAATATCTTAAGGTCTGGTTTCTTTGGACAAGCGTCTTATCTGGGCGTCAGCGAAAAGTTGACGTAGAGCTCACGCCAAAAAAATACTTTTTTGTTAGCTCAGCATGAGCGGTCGGTCAACGCAGATATTATCTCTCATTGCGCATGCGCTAATAACGTAAACAAATATTTATTTTGAATTCGTATCGATTTTGTTATTGTCGACCAGTGCTTTAGAGAACAAATAATGACTTTGTCCAAGAAAAAACACATTATAGCTGAGCTAAATGAAGAGTGCTATGTTTAATGAAGAAGCTATGTTTAATGTCAAAATCAAAAATCTTGGCTGATTTCAATGTGCTATTGGATGTTGTCCGCCATTGCTTCTGTGGTTAACGTCACGTTGTAATCCAACTGCAGTTGAGTTGGACGGTAATTGTAGTTCAAGATGAGCGTTCGATGACGTATACTACCAAACTCACAAATGGACTAATTAGAGGTTAACGCTGATTTCCAGCTGACGGCGTTCTCTCCTAAGAAACCAGGCCTTTAGAGTGTGTCTAATAATTTGGCCAGGAACTGTGAATGAAACGAGACTTTCTAACTCCAGCTGCCCACAGCCACACGGACCTAATCTCAATTAGTACTACCTAGTGCGCGTGCGTACTAAACAGTAGAATCGATTAAAAAATAGCAAGTAACTTAAAGCAAAATATACAAATAATTTATGACTTTTGAAGCGTTTTAATATCATTGAAATTTCTTCTAGATGTGAGAGTATGGGAATCTGATTCAGATGTGTGCAGTTTACCTTTTGAATCTGGTACTGGCTCTGACAACGTGAAGAGGTACGGTTTCAACAATGCTTTGGGAGAATGTACCAGATTTGTCTATACCGGCGAAGGTGGAAATGGAAATAATTTCGAAAGCTTAGAACAATGTCGAAGAGCTTGTGAAAAACGTAAGACAAACACAACTTTGATGGATAATTCAAAATTCTTTATTTTGATTTAAACTAACCTGGCAACTACAGCGTTTTTGCTACATGTTTCAATGTAATTTTCGCGCTCATTCCATGATAAAGCAACCATTCATTTAGTCTCGATATTGTTCTAAGGGGAAAAAAAAAAGATTTTCATATTTTTTTAGTTATTATTGGCTTTTTTAATGGCAATTTTTTTTTTAAAGAAAAAAGATTAATAAAACATGGAAAATCGGATTCAAGGGTTATGAAGAAATGAAATGCGTTAAATACGTCGAAACAGAAAATCTTCGAAACTACATATATATATATATATATCAAAGAGTATCTCAGATGATTCATAAATATTATTGAAATAAGTGAGGAAAAGTTTTAAATTTTCAAATGATACGGTAGTAAAAAGACATACAAATTGGTTTATCATCGTTCAAATACTTGGTCATAAGAAACCACGTTTCGAATTCTCAGCTTTGCTTGACTTCCTAACAGGGCTCGAAAAAACTAAAAAATTTTACCCGTCCCCGAGGACGACTT